CACACTGGTCACCCCTGGGGAGCGCAGTGCCAGCACATCAGAGGGGCTGGGGGGGTTCTCCAGCCCACGCATAGCCCCAGGCATGGCAGCACTGGGGAGCACCCCCTGCTCGCCCACCCCCTCCCCCTGCCCGTACTTGGGGTAGGTGGAGGTGACCTCCAGGTTCCCATCTGCGGTGGCAGAGATGACTGTGGTGCACATCTTCATCAGGTGCTTCTTCTCCTTGAACCAGTTGGAGTTGGAGGCCAGGCCGATGCTGTACCATCTCCCCACGAGCTGCAAGCAACCTCTGCTCAGTTGCCAGCCAGGCGCAGACACCATCCTGCCCCTCAGCCGCCCACCAGCCCCAGCCCAGGCCACCTCCCCCTCTCCTGCCAGCCTGTGCCTCATGGCAGGACGGCATCCCGTGGTTCTCATCCGCCAGGGAGCTGCGACAGCTCTCGGCATCCACAAAACCAAGCGGCCAGGACAGCCCTGGTTTATGACATGCCCTTCACTGCCTGGCACTTGGTGTCTTTCCTTCCTCCTCGCCCCAAGGCCAGGGAGGGGGTGACAGGACTGCCTGGCTCTCAGATGCCATTTTCATCCATCTGGGGGGGCGAGGAGGGGTCAGGACCCCAGAGCCAGCACGGCCCATCCTAGCCCAGTACCTGGGGCTCTACCAGCTTGGTGGACCCAGAGAGGCACTGTCACCCTTGGAGATGGGCTGTGCTGAGACCACCCTTGCAGGACATGCCAGATCTCCTTCCTTGCAGGATGTCACTTCATCCCCATCACCGCCCTGGGATGCCTGTGTCCCCCAGGACCCCTTTGTGGGGAGCAGGCAGTGTGACCCCTGCCCCGGCTCAGTGGGACCCCAGGCTGTGGGGCCAGGCCCCCCACTGTGCAGCCAGGCTGGGGCTGTCCTGCTCTGGGTCCTGCCCATCATGGGGGAGGAAGGGGAGTGCGAGCACCCTGAGCATGCCAGCACCCAGACACTGGGGGGCAGAGGGGTGCATGGGACCCCCCAGGAGAGCAGCCCTTGGTTTTTTTTGGGGCCTGGGGTTGGGGGTGGATGGGGTCTCTGTTGGGGAGGGGGTGTCCACAGCCCACGTCCATGCTGTCTGTCAAATTAAGATTGCTTTTCTCAGTCCCTCCTATAAAATCCCTGTGCAT